GCAATATAAACTCGGATCCTGCTGCACAAGGCCGATCCTCTTCTTGGCGCGGTCTATTGTGGGTTCTCAAGTTCATTGGAAGATGATAGTTATTCCAAAATGCTTTAAATAAATCTCCTCCGGCGGCAAATTCACGCAGCATTTTGGTGGGTGGCTTTAACGCTCTCAAGCCCCTGTGGATGAAACTACACCGTATTGTGTTCAGTTCGGTGCTGACCAAAGTCGCTTAGAAACCGGATTATGTTATGCCAATGATGGCGCGGCACTGCAATACCCAGTTTGATGGCACACTCACGACTACTCCCTCCCCAGTCTCAACAGCAGGCTCTCGCCTAATCGTTCACTTAACCTGAAATACGAACAAACTCTTCAGCTGGCTCCCACTGCCTGGACGCGTTTACTCAAATCTGCTGAACATTTCGTGTGGATTTCATCATTTCGGTAGGTTTTCAGGCGGTTCCTCAAAAAGTCACCAATTTTCCGTACATTTGCGTCCCGGCTTGTGTGTTGTCACCAATTCGCTGCAAAAACCTCCACCCACAAACACCGTCGGTCAGGCTTTTATTTTGATCGTGCCTGACGGTATGCCATCCACCAGTTGGAAATGAACATTATTGTTGTTCTGTCCGCAATAATCGACGTAGGTACCATGCGGTTGATTTGTTCAGGCATTTTGGAACACTGGACCCATGTTAGTCGTGTGCACAAGCTAGGTTCCGCTAGGATCGACGTCTTGCTCTTCCTGACATACCTCGCAAGCTAAATTAGGGCGCCCCGCAGTTGAACAATCAAATTGTACAATTTTTCTTGCATTAATGTATGCGAATTTACGAATTCATTCCGTAATAGCATTTATCGAGCAAATATTGCACCCACATTGGCATCCAGAATGCTCAACGAATCACCTCAGCTCGTCCAGTATAACCGATTCAGGCTTTACCGCATTTCGCGGTTTCTTATTGCATCAGGCAACGTGTTCACAGTCGGTCTTAGATGACCTTGAAGATTCGCTCACTTAAACAGATCACTAATATCGATAAGTTGCGTAATAATTCATTATCCATAGATATTCTATACCGTAAAATAGCAACCCCGAAAATGTGGCAGCTTCCGAGAAGACAGTTCCATCGTGCGAATGCGGAGAGCCCAATTTTCGAGACTCCTTGGCCGCACAATGTTCTCAGCTGCAAGAGCTTTGCAAGTGGAATAGAACTTCTAACTTCAAAATATTTAGCTTTTGTTGCGTGTATGTGGGAACCAAAAATTACCCCAACCTGACTTTACATTTCCGCAACCCACCAAATTTCAGTATGCACTGAAGCAAGCATAACCGACCGAAAAAACCTCGGGGGATCATTTCTTAGCATTTCTGGGACCCCAGGGTGTCTGGATGGGTTTCGAAACTTCGGATTGGTATTCTTAACTCAGTTGCCTTATATTTTATCAATTCGGGACACGTCAAGGCTCACGATAATTCAATCCTATAGTGCAAATACTCAGTGCCCGTTTTTGCACAATGGGAATGATTTCTTGAGGGCTACGACATTTTCAGGGTAGCCACTTTATAGTTTAGAATGGCTATATGCAATGTATGTGTGCATGTATAATGGAAATTATCTACTTCGGTGATTTCTTCAAGTGAGCGAATTTTCAAGGTTAGTGAACACCATCCACCGTGAGCGCGTTGCGCTATGCAATAAGAAATTTCGAATTGCGGAAAAAATTGACTCACAATGGACGAAACCTTTAGATGGTTGTACAGCTGAAATAATTCCTTGAACATTCTGTGATCTGCATGTTCCTTATGAAAGTCAAATATGCGGTGTCATTCCTGCAAATAATTTTTGCTCGATAATTGCTGTTACCAGTTAAAAATGCGTAGCCTGCGTTCATTACTGGCAAAATATCGTGCAAGTTCACTTTCAAACGGTTGAGTGTTCCGTCGTAGCTGCCGAATTGTGCTAGAAAGACAATGAAGTTGATCAATTAGCCACGTGAAAACTACGTCGACCACAGCGGACAGCCGAATGAACCTGATGGACGCACATGCATAACATCAACCAGCGGTCCACGATGCCTAACCAACAAGCCGAATTGCGTTGTCTATCTCCATCATAAAAAGGTCCAAAAGAGACGGCATGAAAAAGTGAGTTGTATTGGACATTTTGATGAGTATATATTTCCTGCCGGGAGGCGCATGATCTTATTCGTAAGGGGTGTTGCCCCGGTCACTGGCGTCCTAAAACTAGAGTAAGATACAACTTAGGTTGTCAAAAACCACTTTAAGGTAGGCGGTTGAAAATCTGGGAGCGATCTTTGTCCTACCTTTGGAGCACTTAAGTGGCCACAATGTTGTACAGACTTGTTCACACAACTCAATCTTTGGCGGCTATTTTGCACACCTGCTGACTGTGAACCTCAGGAAATACGATACTTATATGAAACGCATAAGTTCTCATTAACAGACGCACTTTTTGGAGCTGATGGGTAACGTGAACTCATCTAGGTCTTTTTTCCATGGCTAATGCTGTACAGCGTTAATCATAGCAATCAGTCACTTACACACAGCTGTCGAGTAGTCCCTCCTTGGACCCAAAAATGTGGACACACAGGGTTCCGGAACACGCTATGTCGGGATTCTGCGCTTCGCTCCTGGTCAACTTCATAAGAACCCTCCTTTTGGCCGGGTAGCAAGCACACCTTCGCGTTTTCTTGATAGGCGGGGAGCCAAGGAAAAAAGTTAACTATTCTTCTGCGGACTCACCTCTATGATAAGCCTGACGGGCAACAATGCACAGTGGACAATGTGTACCATCAAAACAGTCGGTGTGATATGATACGCGATCCGTCGCACACCAGAAGTTGCTGCCGGAATTCGGCTGGTCACAGAGCACACAAAAGCCCAATTCTTTGCCCCTATACCACCACCTGGTTTGAAATACGTCAATTTCATACTTTGAGCCCTGGCGCAGCAGGACTTGTCCCCGAACAACCATTTGCTAAAAGAAGGCCGTGGTCTTCCTGGGATTTAGCCCCTGATGCTTATCCACCACTCTATCCGGTTGTTTACGAAAGCCGTCAAAAGCTATCGGAGGTGGCTTGGAAGAAAGTGTAAGGTGTACATCTCTTGCCGGTAGGCTTTAATCCAACAGCCGCCGTTAGTGGATGTAAAAGGAACCTGAAAAAATCTGTCTTACTGCCTGGAGCCGACTGACCTCTAAATGCAGAAGAAAAATAAACTCGGGAGGGTGAAGTGTGCGTTCTCCAGCACTAGTGTCAACCCTCCAGGGGTACCTGTGAGCTTGCAACCCAAACTATAAGCTTGTTAACGAAGCTTGATTTCACTTTGGTTTGTTTCAACGCAGTCATAATGCAGCACTGGCGGCCCAGGCCCCAAGTGTTTCACATTCCCCAGACGGTTGATGGTGACATTAACAAAGTGAACCATTCAGGACTTTTCGCGCACGGCCCATTTTCGGGTGATGTAGAACCAGCGGACCGAGGGGTCGTGGGTCCGTGCGGCGCAGAAGTTGCAAATATTGCCGGAGTCTGTGATGTTCTAATTTGGTGAGGGAAAAGCCTACTGTCATGCGTTGTCAAGGTAAGCCATGCGGTGGAATATATGCCCCTGTTCTCCGAGTGTGTCTATGAACGAAAAACATGAATGGTAACTGATAAATACGTACTTCCTGATAAATCTTCTCATGTGAAGGTAGGGGAGCATCGCTTCGCAGCCGACTGTCGCCACCCGCATTTGCGCCACTAACTTGGTCATAACCAAGTTATAAGCCGCATAATGCTTGCCCACTTCAGTGAATAAGTTGGACAGCTTATCCGCAGGAGCAAACTTTTTGCCCTCCGCGAACCCATACATAAGCGGAGACCCGGTTTCCCTGTTGTCCGTTATCAGTTAGGTATGCAGCTTGTATCTACAGGCCGAATTTTTTGGTGGTTTGAAAAACTTACGTGGAATGGTCTGTTGCGTGTGTTCCGTTTGCATTCACCACACCCAGAAATCGTCAGAACGACGCTATTTGCTACCATCGGGATAAGCATATGTGCCTATGATGACCTTCATCTGACTGACGCAAAAGCATGCGTCCGGCCTCCCGAAGTTTTGCCACAATAAAACCTACTATGCGATACATAATCAGCAGAGCTGGTCGACACTCCCGACGGCAGTTGTAAGGATCTTGCCGAATTCGTCGGCCACAAACTCCCGCAACTGAAACGATGCGTTCCATATTTCAGAAGGGCCACGGAGATGCCAAACTCGTCATTCGTTAGCCGTTGATTGACCGGAAGCCCGTCGTACGGAAACTTTGACAACATATGTTTTTTTAAGAAAATATAATGTGACTGTCAGATGGTTCCTTTGCCTCCATAGACGAAACTACAATGGACAGCCAGTGCTCGCATACTGCTTTTTGGCAAATACGCTCAGCTCACTAGCTTAGTCGAAATCCCCGACATTCCTTTGGTCCTGGAGGTCGCCTGGTGCATTTGTGTTACATCAATCAGTAACTCAAGCCAGCGCTGGTGCTTCGATTACTGGATGAACGCACAAATACCACGAAGCTATCCTTCATGTATTGATTTAAGGCCCTCTCAAAGACGTGAAGAATGGAACCGATACATTCACAAATTTCTCAACGAAAGCTTGTGAAGACACTTCCGAAGCCATAGCTCAGCAAGTTCAAAGTCGAATATGCGCCACAAATTTTGAAAATAGAATAAATAAAACTGATCGCAGAAAGTGACGGCAGATGAGGGTGCTTTTTGGTCTGAGCATATATGCAAATAAATGCAACACTTTGACGTAAAAGGTTTTATCTCCCCATCAGGGGTTTTGCAGACAAATGCACTGAGCGTCCAAGGCGCGAAGTTTTTGCTTTTTTGGCCCTCGCCATTTAGTCAACCACCCAAAGTGACCCATGGTCAGCAATGATTTTTTAGTTTTTGTTCGAGTCATAAGATTTCATCATTCGACTGGTCGACCCTCAAGCCTCATGGTCACAGTTCTTTTGGTTCCCACAACTATGGTGAGCTTTCACGTAGTACAAGTGTCCCTTCGGTTGTACTTTCTCCCGCGCATAATCGCTGCTCGTTGCGTTCAGGTTGCAACCACCCAGTAATGCCTTACTTGGCATGGTTCGCGTCTAGGAATGCAAGTTAAGATGACTGTTTCATTTGCTGCGGATGAAGAGTCACCGTCCGGAGGAGGGCTGTTTGCTGTGCATGATCCTGAGTTGCGGAAATCAGGAGGTTGACAAACCGTGGAATGGTGGCCAGCGTATATATATACCGCATAAAATGGGTGGGCTGTTGATACTGCTCTTGTTCTAGGCTAGGGCTTGTAGTGGATAACGTGAGCAAATACCAGTTCAAAGTAGTTAAATCAAGTGAGTAAAAATAAGCGAGATGATACAACTCACAGTTCATTGGTACAGTTAGTTATTACCACTACAATAAATCCAATTCGGTCTCCTTCCTGGAATCTTCCTTGACATATTCCTGGATACTTTCTATCCCGTCGTAGTCTGAAAGGCAGATCACCGTTCGATAATTCACTGTCAGCGTAATTCGACACAGCAAGAAGGGAACACGCCTTTCACGAGGTACAGAATTTGTATTGTGTCCATATTTCTTTTTCGTTCATTTTAAACAAAAGTTATTCGGTATGAAGAGAAGAGGAGTAAGCTGAGGTTTTAGTGAGAGATAGAAAGTGGTACAAATTGCGTAATGATAAGTTACAAAGAAAGTACAAATGTATAATGGTCAGAAGGATCACCATAGGCCCACTTGACGCTCCCAGTGCTTGACTGAAGATATTGGTGTCGGCCAGTCCTTAGCGGTGGCCAAAATGAGGCCATTATTTACCCCAATAGTCACGCTGCTCAAAGCGTGGGTCGTTACGGTGCTCGCTGAATAATAGTGGTGGGCGTTTTTACTTGTGCCGGTTGTCTATCTATATGGAGCTATTTTTGAGGAAAGTGACAGCCGAATGGAATTAGGGTGACGTCGCATCGTGCTGGAGGCCCAATCAGAGTGGACGTGATGGCCACTTCAATATGTAGAGTATTACAACAAAATGATATAGAACTTTTCCGGATGTTTGCTCTTCAGATTCTTCTAATTGTCCACACATTCTTGAGAGGTTGTTCTACATTCAATCTTCTGAATTCTCTTTTCGGGAGAAGTACCTCCGTATTAAAAATAAACGAACACTGACATTTTAGCCAGAGAGAGCTGAACGATTTACCTGTGCCTGTCGAGAAATCGTCCAAACGTTGAATGACAGCTGATCAAGAATGATCTGGATGAACTAGACGGGTCTTTCAACAATTGTACTCTATAAATAGCGCCCATTTAAAATTTGGCGTCATTCTCGAGCGCATGGTCAGTTAACCTCATCGATATTTACCATCATTTGTAGAATATAAATAAATTGTACACTCATCATAATGGATATTAATGATGCGCAACACTCTCAAATTCGGCGTCACATACAAGCAAAATTTACAGTCAGCTGAGCGCACTACTTTGCTCACATTAGATCCTGTAAGTTTTTGAATAACTCCGTTACTCCTCAGACTCTCCCACTAGACGAGATAAAACAGCTTGCATGTTTAGAATTGTAATTCCACTTTGTACTAACCGCTCGGTAGCTATCCACTCCCTAGAAAGGATGATGAATACTGCTTCCTGTTGCAAGGGGATGATGGGCGTGCCATTGGATATATAACGGAAGAAGTACTTCATTTACAATATTTATTAATTTTACTGTTCAGAACCGACAATGGCTCTCCACGAATGTCGTTACCCTTGTGCCACTTCCGGTGAGTCCAATGCCAAATCTTTTGACTGAACTCTCCTTATTTTTTGGGGATAGGGGATAAACTGACAATACTTTCCATACCTCACATGTCACAGCAGAGTTGGCTGCTAAACTGATTGTTGACCATTCAGGGTTATTGGTTATATGGCTGATATCGCAGGGCAGGATTCAAGATACGTTACAGATATTTTGTGAACCAAAGAACAACGCTGTGTCAGTTCCTAAGAGTTCTCCCACATCGAATTCACTGGTCACACGTAGAGGAGTTGGAAACCGGTGGCTACGCTTTATTTGGTGTCGTTTGGGACTCACAGGTGCTCCATGGCACTGATTTCATCTTCTCATTCAAATGTACTGTTGGGCTGGGAAGCAAGCTTTTTCCAGAAATATTCGAATAGTGAGGTCCTTCGGCACATTAGAACTGGACTGTAACTCAGCTACATGTGTACACCTACATGAATTGCTGGCTGTGTTGAGATAAGTTCTATATACACTAAAATGAATGTAATTGTGCTTTTACAAAACGACAAATAGGATCTACTTTCGGCGTTCCCTGCTCAAGTGTGTACTGATTAAGACAAACAGTTATCACTGTAGATTGAACCTCTGAAATTATCAACCACAAGCGCAACCATTTGTTTGACATGGTCCAAGTGAAAAGTCTACGTTGTTATCCCCTTGAAGTAGTTGGTTGGCCTAATGAACGCGCCGATGAATGGAATGAAAAGAGTTCAGTACAAGGAGAGACTTTGCTTTGTGACACAAGAAATTGGGTGTTGAAGCTCTTGGTGCGGTCTTGATTTTTTGGATGGCTGAGCAAACTCAAATACTAAGGACTTCTAATGAAGCCTCCAGAGAGTTGGTTTGGCTTGAGTCATATTATATATAACATTTTGTCACTTGTTGTGACTAGGTGATAGCTACAGCTCTTGGCTGGGATGACAGAGGGTACATAACTCAACCTCATGTGCAGCAACGTCTTCTGAAATTTAGACTACTCGTTTCTTATGAGCGTCCGCAAAAACATGTTTACAGTAAGCACATTTGGCACTCATCTCGGCTGTCACCCGTGGGACACCAAATTGGATTTTAAAAGGAAGGTTAGTTTTGATAATTTCCAAAAAAGATACCTGGTGTAAGAGTTTACAACCTATCTTGTCAGCACCTGTTTGAATGCGCATTTCTCCAGTGCTACGAGCAACACAGCCCTTAGCGCAATCAATTTTTTGCTGAACTCAAGAAAGGTTCAATTAGTGGGAATTTTTATGTATATCGGTCATGACCGATTTCCTCGAACCCTTAATAAAGTAGCTGTGCGGCAATGGGAGTGCGTACCTTTCTTTTAATATTACGCTTGTTATTTCTGTTTTGTACATGAAGACCATCTCCCAAGGCAGAATCGGTGGGATTAAACATTTCTTGGAGACAGGCATATTTATACTGCACCTTTTTCCAAACAATTGTTGCTCTCAATGGTCAGTTGTTTTTTGTGTATGATTGCATTCATTCTCGTTTCTTACAAAAACGTTCAGTGACAGCCAAATTTTGATTTCTCAACAAAATTTATGTCTACGACAAGGTAGTGAGTAGATCTGCTTAGAATGATACAATCCACGGCACTGTGTTTCTGCTTGGGCAAAAAGATTCCATGTGTTGCTTACATTCGCTTTTAGAGTAGTTTCATGGTCTCTTGCTTCTAAAAGATTGATAAAGTGGTCACCTCTGTCATTTACCTTAACTTTTGAACGCTACTGCAAAACACTGAGGCACACTTACATTCAGACACTGTGCCTTTGTTCATCAGCTCGTTGTTTCATTCAGTTACTTTTCCTTGTTTATTGGATCAACGCGAACGATGTGCTATACGGTTCTACAGTTGGTTTAGGCTTCTGAACACTTCAAAGCTCTACCCTTAGGTGTTCATCCTAATGCATGTCAAATCTTTCCCTTAAGCTTTCCGTTGATTCTATTGTTAACAGTAAGTGTTGGTGCTGCTAGTTTTTATTATTCTTCCTATCTTGATAATGAGCCTCAAGTCTACGTTAGAGTCAGCTGAGGACATCAAACGCTTGCCGGTGTTTTTAGCACTAGAGCTTGCAACTGCTTTATAATTTATTTTTCAGATGTTTTTAATTATTAATAGAGTTGATTTCCCCATTGTCACTTGTGCTGCTTTTAAGGTAGCTGGTTTTTTAGGCATTTAACCAAAAGTGTAGTAGCTAGCGTAGGTGCCAGTTTTAGCTGATAATTAGCTACTAAACGGTTGGCGAAATAAATACAAAATCTAAATAAATAAATAAATAAATAAATAAATAAATAAGCAAAACAGCTGCAAGTAATAGGTGCAGTTGGTCGTGATTGCTCACGTAGATTTCGCATATGTCGTGTGTTTTGTCACATATAGCGGTCGTAAACGGTAGCAAACATTCGTCAGCATCAGGATGTAGTTAGTGTTTTGGAATCTGGGCTCATCAAAGATAGACTATCTTCTTTATTACTCAAAACAGTAAATAACACTCCTTTAGTCACAAAAGCGTTATCCCTTTTAAAGTTAGAGAGAACTAAAAAATGCAGAAGTCTTGTAGCTGTAATTTAGCCCGTAACTAACGTGTTATAGTGTAAGCACAGATATATAGTGAATACAACAAATTGTCAACTATTATCTGAATGGCTACTATCCTATCAGGTAACTGGACCCCAGAGTCCTTGTTTCCTCCAGGTAACACAAAGAAAGTCCAAGTTTGATTCATCAGCACTAATTCCTTAGTATACCCTATTAAATATAACATTCTGTGTTGGTGCAGGTAGAAACCGAGGGGACTCAACTAGAAAGCGCGCCCCGAATGTGCAACAGCTTTGGTTTTCTCTCTTCTCTTTTAAGAGGCAAAATGCGGTCCATTGGTTTGTCTTATTTTTAAAACCCACACTAAGTGAAGATGTTATGTGGAAGCTTGGAGGTGCTTCTTTTTAAAACTAGGCTTCTGGCATCAAACGAGTTTGCTGCAAAAAATCTTATTGGGGCTATCGCTATTTGTTTGTCCACAACTTAAATTTCATCTTGAGCAACACACTGAGCATCGATTACATTATTCGGGTTTAAACACCTAATATCAACGCCTCATTACACTCTAAATCTGATTCCTTAAAACTGGAGGGTAAACATAGTGTCGACATCTCTGGTTTAAGTGCTACATGCGTTGGCGTTTTGTTTCGTTGGAATTTCCTCACCTCGTACTTGCTTAACTTGGTCGGTTCCTCACCGTACAGCACTTCTCATCTGACCTCCTCGAAAGTTCACTTCTGTAGGCCAGTTTCTGTGGCCACTTTCACCGCTGAGTTTTGTCATCAATTCAACTGCTTAAGTGCTGTATGACTTATGTTTCAACAGCCAAAAGTACAAGTCATTGTGTGATAGCAGTGTTTCGTAAGTCAAATTGGCTGCTGATTGTTTAGCCATTTACCTGCATGTAGGTTATTAGAGGCCTTAACGAGGGTTAAAGGACAGTAAAATCCGGGCTGAATTCAGGAGTGTGCCTGAATACAAGGCTTCTCTAGAGTTGTGGTCTATCAGTTTGTCCCCAGCTAGTAAACCCTACAGGTGCTTGTATTTTCCGCAGACACTGCGGATATATATTTGGATTATATTTTTATATGTTGAACAAACCACTACTTTAATACGCATGTTGATCACTACAATTCTGGCAATTTGTTATGTGGCAGATGCGAATTTATGACCAAACAGCTATCTCTAGAATTTGGTGATGCTTTCAAGATAGTTTCATTGATAACCGTAGAGTTTATCAAACTTCTACACATTTTTTTTCTCCTCCACGAATCCTCTGAACATATAGAAGTTTCAACTAAATAAAGACTTCATGATTACACATTCTGGTTTGGACAAGTAAATAAAATGCCCTTCGTTTATCCTGAGTTTGTGTTATTAGTAACCCTTCCCTGAGAAAATCTCTAGTAAACTACAGTTCTGACTTGGGACGGGTGAGCGTAGAGCCCATGAATATTGGTCCATGGATAGTATTAGTGTCCCATGTCTCTTCATGACGATAAAAAACTCTACCTGGATAAGAATTTAACATGACAGTGAATAATATTTCCATACATACCCCTCTTTGTATTAAGTTTTGAAAATGCACGCTTTAAAATCACTTCAAATCACACCGGCTATGATATTTCATTGCCAACCAAATGGCCGCTGTTTAAGAAGTTGTTATGTTTGGACTGCTGATATAGGGCTCTAGAATGTTATTCTAGAAGCATTCCCGTGGTATCTTGTGTTATTCTGCTTAACTATAAAACGCTGCACGCTTTGCTTCTCAATCGGGTATGGCTTGGTCTATACATATAGAGCCACAAACCCCGATATTTAGTTGCTACTTCCCTAAAGCAACATGCAGTTACAGCGTGGATGACTGAATTTATTGAGTTGCAAATATAAATGTGTTGACGTTTAACTCAAGAGACAAAATAAATCACCTCTTCCTCAAATAAACGTGAAGTTACATTTAAGTCACCCAGTACTCTCAGAAGGAAGTGTATTGTTAGATTGTCCGCAAATAAGGAGTACAATGAACCAATCGCCTGATAGGTCGATGTTGACCTAATGATCGTAAAAACCCCGATTAAGCACCTTCTACAATATGGTGACACTCCCTTGACCGTAACAGTGTATTATCTACCGCTCACAACATCCGTTTATTAATGTCGTCATAAAGTGATAATCTCAGAACATATAGACAAAGCATAAAGCTTCATCCAGCTTCTTCCTCTCTCTCAGGCCATCAATATTTTGACTGCACAGTAGCGAAAAACAAAAAGATGGTAAAATAGTTACGCCTTTTGTGTACTTGTTTATGCAGTCCAGCAGCAGAATTATACCCCTCTCTAAAATAAGTTTTAATTTGCCTTATTCAAGCCCGTTGTTTCATGTGTTAAAAGTCAATTTTGGTATCCGAGTTTTGAGAATCACTTGATTGTATGTCATTT